GAAATTAAAAAAAAAAAAAAAGAAATGATGTGATACAGAGAATGGAAAATTGAAGAGTAAAAGATTCTTGGCCCCAGATTAAAAGTAATTGCATGAAAAAGATTCACTACCTATATACCTAAAAATACGAGATTTTTCAACGTTTAGGATTGAATTCACATATTACTAAAGATACCGGCTCAGAGAATAGTGTGATTAGTCTCTTGAATTTATCATCTACTTCAGTCTTCATTCTAAATAACGCTAGTTAGAAAAAACCTGTTACAAAAAGGTGTGTCCAGTTCAAGATTGAGTCAAGCCAACAGGAAACTTTAAAGAAAATGTTGTCCAAAATTGCTTGAACCAGTTTCAGTTCACAACACAATTCACTACTTCCTCTGCATCTTAAACCTTGAAACCGGTTTAGATCCACGAGTACCACTTTGTTGTCCCGCCAAATGAAAATCGACATTATGAGGGTGCTCCACAATTGTACCAGTAAAGGCCTGTCATATAAATACCAATAATTATTAATGTCTAATTAATACCCAATATTTATCTGCCCGATTAAGTTATGAAAATGGAGGTAGGGGCAAAGTGCAAACATAAAACATATGGAATTAGCTCAGATCAAAATTCAAAAAATTATTAAAAATTGCAGAACCTACGGAATATCATTCAAATATAACAATACCATGCTTGCTGACGTAAGAGGAGATTGAACATTCTCCTCTACTCGAGAGGGCTCCAAAGCCTCGTTCATGATAGTGTTGTCTGGTCGTGGATCATCCATATTTGAAGGCCCGTCTAAATAAGCAACAATCATACGTAGTCAAAACACAGACCTGTCCAAATGAATGTGTATATATATATGAAGGTAAGTTTACCTTTAGATACTGCTGCCACCTCTAACGCTTCCACCTGAATCATAAAGTCAAAAAGATATTACAATCCCAGGTAATATGACAAGTAACTTAAAAAATCGCATGAGTACCTTAGAACTTCTAACTTTTTGATTGATAGAAGTTTGATTGATAACGCTAGCTGGCTCATTTTGTGACCTCTCATCCTCATTGGATTCATCATTTGCTCTTTCAGCAGCAGCTTCCTCTTTTTCAAGTTCATCCATACGCCTTTGCATGCGTCTAAACTCTTCATCATCATCTTCATCTGCATCTTCTTTTTTACCGTCCCTCTCAAGAGAAGCGGAGTCGGTGCTTTCATACCCTACAATTTTCCCAAATGCCACTGTAAATTGTAGTTCATTCTATTTCCACAAAGAAGGCATATACAAATTGACATAATGACTTATTACGAATAAAAGTAAAGTAAGTAGAAACCAACCGACTGGTGTCTGAGAAGAATCGACCTCAACGTAATCTTCCCTGATCTCTACAATGCCCTCCTATATAAAATACGAAAAGAGAAATTTTACCAAAGGTAAGCAAACGGGAAATACTAGTCACATTCATCATGAACAATTTACTGATAATTAACAAGGAAGCTCCTCACACATAATGAATTCACACACATAATGAATTCATCAAGAGCACACACCATTTGTAATATACATTTAAATTAGAGATGGAATGTTGATTGCTAAAGCTGTACAATATGGACATTGTGAGGGCCAGTTTTGTCCATGATCTAGGTAGTTAATGCATGTCATAAAAGCTCCCCACATGTTATGGTTATTTACTAGTCATATAAAGCCCATAATTAGATTTCATTGTGCACCAAAATGGAGCATGGAAGCACTGTATAGTCCCTTGATAAGAGCAACTGTGATAGCAAGTAGGAAGTCTTGAAGAGCTATAGGTATACAAAATCTCAAATAGTGGAACAGGATACTATGTTAGCCTAGTGATGCACTAAACTATACCAGACTACCACAGCAAAAGTTGTATGTTGATTTACTGTGCCCAATCAACACTCACTAGTCACTACAGCATAAATCAAAACCTTAGCTTAATAGATAACCAGCATTCCATAATATTGTCCCACTTTGGTTATCTTTAAATGAGATTAGTTGAATGAAACCTAAAAAATGGCCAACACAATCAAATTGCAAGTGTACCTAAATACAGAATCATCACGCTTACCGCTGACTCGTTTGCTGTAGTATCAAAGAACGAAGCCTCAGTCTTTAAGTCCAGCATTATAGCCTTCAGAGATTCGATTTGCGTTTCTAATCCCTTGCCTCTTCTTTTCAAAATCTCGATTGTTTGCTTAGATGTTCTATCAGCATAATAACCTTCTCCTAAAAGGACCTGTAGTTAAAATTGAAAATTAACATATACAAGCACGAAATAGCCTTCTCCATAAAGAACTTGTACTTACACTTGAAATTCGAACCCTAAAAGATGCAAGTTTGAAGACCTTCAGATATTTGGGTTGATAATTTAGCCAAAATAAATGCCATGTAATACATTAACCACAGTGAAGTGCTTAATGAAATTAAGTTAAACCTCATGAAGATATTTTGCAATGTTATTAACCCCTATATCGATACCCGACATGTTATTAACTGATATATCATGTCGGAATAACTAATAAATTTGATATCCCGATGGAAAAGTTCAGCTACCAGAAATTCATTGGTGTGGATCAACCGTCCTGGGAAAAACGCTGCCTTTCCGAATGGAACCTATCGATTAACAGAATACAAACTATCATTTCAGTGTTTTAACACGATGGCAAGCGGATAAACACTGAAAATAACATGAATTAAAATACATTCCTAGGGAAAAATGTGAGTTGAACACACTGACCATTATATTGTGGTGGGTTTCATCTGGGAGCTTCTGGACGAGGTTTATGAGGCTAACATTGTCATCAACGAAGCCCCTGAGCTGATTGAGTTGCTGCTGGCGCTCGTCAATAACCTCCTGCACACGCTTCGAAGCTTTCTGCGCTTCGTCCGGTGGGAACATGGACGATAGTTGCGTGACTGTACCCTTCTTCTCCATGGGCGGTGACTGTATAAGTGTTTTCCTGCACTTCTAGGGTTTACAGTTGCAGGAGCGAATTGGGGTTCTTCTACAGAAAAATCACAACGGAGAACAATCTCATGTGCACACTTTTATCATCGGATACATGGGCTACTCACAAACATACATCAATTATTAATATCTAGCGATTATTAAGAATAAGACAGCATAGAAATCCCCACCTTTTACTCCTGATGCTGACTAAATGAAAATGCACGTGCTTCTGAGTGAGGGCTCAACTCCTCTTACTCTACTGTTTAAAATATTTTTACCTTATTATTACGGGATTTTGATTCAGTTGATTAAGGGATTTTGATTCAGTTGATTAAGCCATACAAACAAATAAGGCAAACAGAGCAAGCAAAGCACATAAAACAAGTAAATAGACAAACAATGGCAGATAAGACAGATAAAACTTGAAAATTCTAGACTCGTCTAGAGTTCTCAAAAATTCTCACTTAGGATCGGAAAACACAATTTCTAACTGAACTGAACCGGCCGGTCCGAGCACGGTCAAACTATCTGACTTAAGAACTCTGAACATAACACAAAATGTGCACAAAATAACCATGTAACAACAGCCTCAAGATAACAATTATAAGCAAGGCAATTGACCTACAACATGCTCCTCTTCTTGAACCGAAAACTTTTGATTCTCTTATAGCAGTAAGGCCACAAATAGTTGATTCAAACCTTTGAAAATTAAGCTCAATTACAGCACATAAAACCACTCATCCTAAGGCTCAGCATGCTCAAACAAATGCAAGGCCAAAACAACATACAACATGCTCTTTTCTTTCTTCAAAACTTATAAACTCGTGCATTAAAACATCTTATTAAACTGAAATCTAAGCTTCATATACTCTGAAAATAACAACGAGACACACCACAAAACACCATATAACAACAGCCCCCAAAAAATGCAAACAAGCAAGGCAATTTCACATAACAACATGCTTCCTTTTTCTTCTTAAATCTTTAAGCCTCTAAGTATGAAATAAACTCATCGTTAAGGCTGAACTTAACACCTCCAAACTCACAAAATCAGCATGATAAACGCATGAAGAAACTCAGCAACACAAGGCAAACATACGGTCAAAACATAACACAACAAGGCTCTTCAATCTTCTTTAAAACTTAACACTTAAAGCATGCTTTTAAACTGAAACTAAGGCTCAATAACTCTGAAAACTTTTAACACTTCAAACAAAACTTCCAGCACATAATAAGCATCTATATACCAGCCTCAAGACATCAACACAAGCAAGGCAACAAAACCACATAAACCAAGCTCTCTTTTTATTCTTAAACCTTTATACTCTAAGCATGCTTATACTTAAAACTTATGGCTGAAACTTAACTCCTCAAAATTTATAATTTTCAGCACATAAACACAATGAACAGAGGTTAGATCATCATATCGAAAACGAGGCAAAAACAGCAACAACATGCTTCAAACTTCTTAAACTTTAACAACTACAAGCATGCTTTTAAATCCTAAAAAAAACTGCATTTTAAGCTTAAGATCTCAGCCATAACATGGGTAAAAGATTCAGCAAAATACCTTCTTCAGGTATAAAAAAGAGGGAGTACTAAGACTGTAAGAGGGAAGTTGTCGGCTCAGTTGCTGCGGCTCGGGTCTTGCTGAAATTGGTTCGACTCTCGATCCGTCCAGGTCTGCTCGCCGGAGGTCTGATGCTTACGGTCGCCTGAATTGGTGTTCTCGATATGAGTACTCTTCAGCCACACGAAACTCGTCTCCGCCGCACGAGAATCCACGTCTTTGCCGTGGAAGAGTGCCGCCCCTGTCGCCGGATGAGAGCTGATTCTTTTCGCCGGAGAAAGCTCGGCTGAACCGCTGATTGCTTTGCCGAATTGCTGCTGCTATCGCCGGAAAGTGATGCTCCTTATTCGCCGGTTTTTGGCCTGCTTTTCCACGGAGCTGCTCACGGCTGCCGGCTGGTGGCTCTCCTCAGTGGTGCTCTTCTCCCCGCGGGAAATCGCTGGGCGATTTTTGGGACACCCTGCGTGAACTTCGAAGGGAGCTAAATGGCAGAGGTGGCTGAGCTTGAGAGGCGTTTAAAAAGCGGGATCTTCAGGGCTTGCTGGTGAAGAGCCGAAATTCATGGAGCCCATTGAGCTAGGGCAACGGCACGGCTGGGAGGGAAGGGAGAGACCGAGAAGTTGGTTATGCTAAGGTATATGGGCTGCTGCTGCTTAAGGCATTTTCTTGGGCCGAGATTAAATGAGTTAGGCCCAGCTGTTGGTTTTGGGCCAAAGAAAAATTAGTGGTTGCTTGATATGGGCCAGCCACTGCTGACAATTGAGTCCAAAAATAAAAAAATGGGCTGGTTCTGTCAAGTTCAAGTGCCTTAGGAACTAAAGCACGAATTAATAGGCATTTAGGAAAATAAATTGAACACTTAACACATTTAGGCAAAAAAAATTCAATTAAAACACTTCGATAACACAAATAAGCACAAAAAAACACTTAGGAGAAATTTAAATAAAACAAGAGCACAACAAAAGAATTAAGAAGACGAGGACATTCTCTTAAATCTCGATTTTTTGATTAGGTAAATTAATTAGCAAAATTAAATAGACGAGGACATCTATTTAATTTTAATCTCGGATTAAACGAATTTAAGAAAAATTAAAACTAGTCGAGCTATGAAATGAAATGCAGATGCTATGCTTTCCTTAAAAACGAGGCGTTACACAATCCTCAGTTAAACAAAAGGCACAAGCTCCGACACAATTTAAATCACAGCCGAATGGACAAAGGAAAAAATTCACCTAAAGCAGAAAAACCCTAGGTCGAGATTTACAATAAAATTCACCTAAAGCAAAAAATTCACCTGAAGCTGACTAGCCTTGAGGCCAAAGAGCCGTGGGGAGTTGGAGCCGCGTCTGGCAGCTCACCTTTAGATCGACGGCTTCAAGTCAATCAGTTTTTAGCCTTGTTGTTTTCTGATAAGCCTTTCCCTACATGCAACACAAAACAAAATAAAATAATACTCAATGAATCAAATATAATAATCAACATAACAATAAAAAAACGAGATCAGCCTAAGTAAAACTACAACTTTCTTATGAAATTTCTCGTAGTGGCCTCCTTGTTTAGATAAATTATATTTACTCATGATGAACATACATAATATATGTTATACTATACTAATTAATCATATACTATTTCATACACTTTACCAATAAAATGCACAACACTACTAATTAAACCAGTGAAAATTAACAACCCTTTTTTTGTTTGACAAAGAAGGTCTGTCTAATACATGTTTTCTGTTCACTTACATACACACACTAGTTGTTTACATATTTAGACTTTCCTCCCCAGTCCCCACCAAGCCCCCGGCATAACTATGAAAAAAGAGAAATAAGCAAAGGTGTCGTTTACTGGGAAAAAGAAACAAACAATTGGCCAATGAAGATAACACTAACAAGCAGAAATATCCTAATTCTAAACCGACCTAATACGGGAAATATAAATAACCATCTTCATGATGCTGCCCTGAAGAATACAAAGCCTGTCTTAGAAACATAGTTTCCAGAGTGAAGCAGCAAGACACAGCCAACGAGATAATTGGGCAACCAATGGGCTCAGATAGCCAAGCACTTTCCCGGAAGGACCGATATATGTTTATTTTATATGAGAGAGGCTTCGAGTTTATACAAGATATATCCAGAAAATACAGACCGGTTGATAGATTCAGGAGAAGAAATAAGGAGAAGTTTATGAGAGAGAGAGAGGGGGAGTGGTGTAGATTAGAGCATGCTTGGATACAAAATTTCTCAAAAAAATCTAAACATTTTTAATTCAACCAATTTTTTAAACTCAATTTTAACTTAACCTCACTATCATCAATATTATCAATATAATCAAATAATATCAATCGATCATTCTTACACACCACCTTATCTTAATTCACTATTCATCCACTCACATAATTTTAACTAACCATCACTTCAAATCTTCTCCCTCTTACTTTACATCAAATCAACTTTAATCATTTTATTTTAAATATTATTCTAATATACCCAGTAACAACTAATCATACCAACTTTTTCAAAATTAACCAAACCAAACAAAAAAATTCAAACAAAACCAAAATTTTTTATATCCAATCATCCTCTTAGTATTTTTTATTTTTATTATTAATATTATTATTTAATAGGTGTCTTAGAAAATAAGTTAGGAATTTAATATTATTGTTTAATATTTATTAAGAAATCTTGTTTTGTTGGACAAGTTAAGGTCTAGGGTTGGGAGCCTTATTGAATGGAAATAAGAAATTGATTGAGTTTATCGTGTTTTCGTATTCTTGAGATTGTGATCTCATTAACATCGTCCCACTCGTACGCTTCCCAACATCAGTTGGTATCAGCAGTCATTACGATTTGCGATGCCGCCGGGACGACAAGATGCCGCAAACGAACGACGTAACGCAACATTCAATGATCGGTTTCAACAGATCGACTACCGATTTCAAGAATTGGACGTGCGTTTCACGGATTGGTTTGCCGATCTTTCGACGGGGATCGAGAATTTGCGTTTGACGCTTAACAACGTGGTCTGAGATTTGCAGATGAACCGTGCCACCGGCGACCGGGATGTGCGCGGGGGAGTTCACGGAGGAAGTGGAGATCGTGGTCCAGGCGGGGCGCCCCGTCGGCGATCTCCACAACTGCCGTCCGGCGATGCAGACGGCGAAGAGACCATATCGGAGGTGGATCCCTCCGGAGAGTGGCCGCCTCCACCCGTCGAGACTGAGCTCGTTGCTGCGCACGACGACCAAGATGTGCAGCAATAGAGTGCAATGTTTGAGGAAGATGACGGGCCATTGTACGACCGTCCGTCTATTTTCGATGAGAAGCCTCTGGTGACGGAGACATCTTTGCAGCAATATGGGTCCCACGTGGGACGTCGCAGAAGTTGAGCCTTTGACGGGGAAGTCGTCGTTCAAACCCGATTTTTGGAGTATCTTAGCCAACGATGGTTTTTCGGAGCCGGACCGAGGCTCAATAACTGGTGGGCCATTTTCCGATTGTCTATCCCGAAGTCTCTCAACAACGGGATGCTTGGCCGTAGTTATGGATTTGAGTGCGGTGAACGATGTGGTATGCTTGGTGTTAATTTCGCTGTGTGGGTTATGCATATGGAGGCGTGTACATGTGCATTTGCAGCAATTCAATCCTTGCTCATGATTACGTTTACCATCGGGATTGTTCAACGACGTTCATCCTTCGTGTTTGACCGGGGGAAACGACGAGGGTTTCCTACCATGAGTTCGAAACCACATGCCGACCACGGGAGCGCATCGGCTTCGAGGGCGAAGCCTTCTGAACCGGGGGAGAATGGTGTATATCATTATTATTATTATTATTATTATTATTATTATTATTATTATTATTATTATTATTTAATAGGTGTCTTAGAGAATAAATTAAGAGTTTAATATTATTGTTTAATATTTAGTAAGAAATCTTGTCTTGTTGGACGAGTTAAGGTCTAGGGTTAGGAGCCTTATTTAAAGGGTTTTTCTACTTTGTTATGAGATGGTTGATTATTGAATGGAAATAAGAAATTGATTGAGTTTATCATGTTTTGGTATTCTTGAGATTGTGATCTCATTAATATCGTCTCACTCGTATGCTTCCCTACATCGAGGGAGAAAACTGACCTGGAGCGCCGAAGTCGGAGGCCAAGAACAGAGAGCAGAGTCGGGCGGTGAATGACGACTGGGGTTGAGCAGAACGATTATGGATTGGGGGAGGGCGACTAAAAACGATTTTTTTGTTCTTTATTTTCTGGCAAGTATAAGCGTGATAAGTTTTGTCGTATGCCTATAATATTAAAATTATAAGTTATATAATGGTATTGTTTTTAAATAAAGTAGCATAAGTTATATGTGTGCATAAAATATTGAAATTATAAATTAGATAATGGTATTTTTATATAACTTCATATTTTAGATTTTTTTATTAAAAATTTCACATGTATCAACAAGCAAATCAACAATTGGTTTTATCGATTTAAAACAAAACGAGAAAAATGAATTAACTTTTCTATCAATGAGACGAAAACTTTTTCGATGCTTCTTGAACCACAATGAATAAAAAGTTGATTATTCACCCAAAATTAAAAAATGTAGAAATTATATATTTGACTTTAAAGTATAAAGGAAAATTATAATAAGAGGAAGAAAAATTAGATTATAATGTTTTTCTTTCTTACATATGCAATGACCATAACATTAATATAAAATAAATATAACACCGATTCATGTAGTTATAAAAAGACGTAGTACAGGAAAGTTGAAGTACAAGAAAGAATAAGCAGCCAAATATCGGTAAAAAATCCAAAAGTTGGACAAGTATCCGTTTATGATTGCATGAGAATTTCAGAAATAATGAGAACTCAATGTTTGTTCAATCATAAAGTTTAGTTCAACATGAGTTTAGTTTCAATCATAGAGTTTGTTATCAGGACCTTTTAGAAAGCAAACAAATATTTGCACAGGGACATACACATATATTCTGAAAACAAATATTTGCAAATGGACATACACATATTCATTATATATATATATAAAATAGGTGACAGAAAATCAGATTATGAGCACATAAGCACTACAACTAACACTCCTAAAACAGTTAGAACTACCTAGAAATAAGCCTGCTGCACAGGATAGCAAATGTTCATCAGTATATAAGAAATGAAAAGGGTAAGGAGCTTCTTCCTCATATTGACAAGCACATGGGTACAGACATTAGACAATTGGCAAAAACAACATTATGTTTCTATTGTCATAACCACTTGAAGCTCTTCCATAATTTCAAATAGACACATACACATACATATACATACATATATATATATATATATATATATATATATATATATATATATATNTCATGATTATATGCTGACAATTACATTTTAATTCATCCTTTATATAACATAATTTTCTTGTTTCTCCCAACTTTTCCTCTAAAACCCCTACACAAAATTCGAGTCATCTTCAGTCAAGAAAAGGGAATCTCATCATCATGAGCATATATATCAATATTTGTATCAGCATTCCTGTTTGAAAAAAAAAAGGTAAAGTATTTACTGCAATCTGGAATCTAGATTAATCGACTCAAACAGATATGCCTCTAGTTCAACATATGGTCATGAAAGACGAATCTCTAACCAACGCGCCTTATGATTGTTTCAGATACTACTAAGGTTTGAGCCTCATGGGCTCACACCAAAAGAACCCGTGTCATGTTCAGATCAAATATGCGTGGACGAAGAATATGAACTAGGTCAAATGTGGTCATTGAACGTAAACTTTGATCCCAAATCAACATCCCAACAATTTCTGAAGAGTGAATCACCATGCATTAGAAACAACAGTTTCTGATGAGTGAATCACCTTGCATTAGAAACAACGTAGATGGTAAAAGAATGCTGCCCATATTCTAATTTTCTCGCAAATTTCCTGAATCCTCCTTTAGTCCCGTGGTGTATGATTTTTATATTTTCAAGACACTTTCTTCAGTTGTTTCATCTGTCAGCACATTAGTTTCAAGAAATGTTTCTATCCTCAACTGTGACACCGTTAATTTCCAACAAGTTTACCCACGATGAACTGAAACAGAAACACGCACAAAGTGCGAAGTGAAAAGCTTTCCTATATGTGATCAAACCACAGTGCATTATCCCACAAACAATCAAGTATACATTCCAAGCCCCACCTCTGATCAACATCAAGCCCCGCTTTATTCCTTCAAGAACAATTTTTTCTTCAGCTTTTAGATGTCAATTTTTACTAGACTAAGGGTGCAGTTGGATATATATCCAAACTAATTTATTTATCCACCAACTAAATAATTGTACTTGATGAGAACCAGTTTTTACAGTAAGTTGGGATATATATTTTGAGGGCCAGCATTTGAGCACCTCAGCACAAATGTATGCAAACCCACACAATGAGAGCCTAGAGCAAAAATGATAGCCGTAATTTTTTCTCTATCCGCAAATTCATTTATCCTATTTTCCAATTAACAACAGTTGTTGCCGATAAAACACGATCTAAAACAACTAAGAAATCACTTAAACATATATATCACACCTGGGTTGATAATAAGGTAGTTCACGGAATTCGCTGCCCTTTGTTTTCCAATTCCAGTCGCCAATCTCGTATCAAATAACGTCTCAAATCGAGGCTGCTGCTTCAGATGGCGCGAGGATACGTAATCTCGTTGCCCTTGTCTACTCCTTCTGCTCGATTGAAAAAATACTCCAGGAATTGAAGATGAAATTCGCCAAGAATGCAGTAGCCGAGAAGTAAGGTTCTAAGAGCATCCACAATGCTTTGGGTCTCTTTTTGTACATGTGGCATATAATTGGACTTGAGTTTTAAATGACATGGACAAACCTAAGTAAAAAAACTCAAAAACATTACAATGCAAAAGTAAAAAGACTAGGTCTAGCATACATGTCAACCAATAGAAATGCTCTAATATGTTTTATTCATTAAAAAAAAAATTAAATTAAGAACAAATGATGAGTGTTTGGGTTTGTACTTGGGTCCAAAATAGACCCAAGTGTAGACTTGGTCTCTTTTTTTCATTGCCACATAAGCTAGACCATGTCCACTTTTAATTGCATTGGGAAGTATTTTTTTATAGATTAAGTCTATTTCTCATGTGGCATGTGATTTTTTGTTAAGAGACCCAAAGCATTGTGGGTGCTCTAAGAATCCTCGATTTTTCGTTCAGTTTTTGTTTGGGCCTTGTGTGTTGGAGCGATTTTTTCGGTCAGATATATTCTTTAATATAAATTGAATTTTTGTTTTTATTATATGGGAGGGAGAATTATAATTTATAGGAATAGGAATATGATTGTGTTATGAAACATAATATAAATGTTTATAATTTATATATGGTTAATTACATTTAAAATCATAACCTTTTGTTTAATTACAAATAAAACTCAATTTTTTTAATTTGGTAAAAAAATACCAAATATTTAATAAGTATTGCAGTTGTATCTCAAAATCAATTTCCGGCCGCCAATCACCTTCCGCCGCTGCCGCCAACCGCCAACCGCCGTCGGCAAACTTCGCCGGATGTTGAAAATTTTTACATGAACTTGTAGCTCTCCTCCTTGACGACAACATATCCGAGTTTCATGAAAAAATGCGGACGATAAGGCTTCCAATTTTCCGGTCAAAACTCGTAGATCTACAAATTTTCTCCGGTGTTCTTTTGCAAATTCCCGGTGACTCGCTTTGATCCACGTGAATCCGAAGGTACCGTTGAACTCCTCTCGCAAAGCCGCATCTAGTGACGTCCACTTTCGCCGGAACCGGTGACTTTTTCCGGTAACGACTTTTCCGGTCATCTTCTTCGCAAATTTCCGGCCGACCTCCACGACGTTCTCTCCCCCACTCCGACCTCCACGACGTTCTCTCCCCGGTGAGCTTCCCCCTGCCGCGAGCTCGACTTCCAGCGACCTCCTCTGAGCCCAGCTATGAGCTCCATTTCCGGCGACCCTCTGTGCACAGCCGCCCCCGAGCTCGTTTTTCCAGCATGCCTTGGCCGGAAACTGATTTTGAGACACAATTGCAATACTTATTAAAGGTTTGATATTTTTTGCCAAATTAAAAAAAAATTAAGTTTTATTTGTAATTAAACAAAAGGTTAGCATTTTAAATGCAATTAACCCATTTATATAACACTTTTAAAAAAGAGTGTTATAATATGGAGAAGTGTTATAACTCATATAGCACTTTTAATGAAGTGTTATGTATTTGTATTCTTCTTATAGCGTTTGTTAAACTAAGTGTTATCTGAAAGTTGCATGTTTTTCACATAACACTTATTTAAAAAAGCGCTATGTAAAAACTGTTATCTGAAGCCATTTTTGGCGTAGTGCTTGTGACATTATTGAACGTTTGCGAATGAGTTTGTGTTCGTTCAACTATTAAACGAGCTTAGTTTCTTGTTCGATCTCGACTATATTAACAAGAGAACAAGCTCTATTAAACCCAAACAAGCTTTTGTTCGCGAATATTCGGTTAGCTACTTGGAATAAATTATTTGCAGTTTGCTTTAATGTAATTTTTTAGTTTGTATAGCTAACACACAAATCTTGACATGTGTTTAGAAAAGTTGCAACGCATTTTAGTTGCCTGCATACATATGTGTTCATTGAGGACAGAGAAACTCAAAATGGCAGTTTGGGCTGAATTCACTTCATTGGGTTTTCTCGATTGAATTTACCTCATTGTATGCATTTTGTGTGGCGATAGTACAAGTCTAACATACATGGCAAACATGACAAATTCAGCCACATGACTACAGAATTCGAAATGAAATGAAATGAATTTATTATGATGAGTATCTCATGTACACATGACTCCCCTTCTACAATATAATATAATATATATCCCCAAACCAAAGAGTCATTTTATCACCCAAATTAAAAATAATAACAATAAATCAAAACCAATGATACACTCTAGAAACAAAAACCAAAATGAACAAACACAAACAAATGTACCGACAAAATTAACAAACCAAACAAAAAGAAGAAAAATGCGAATTGACTTTGGGACCCCCATCCTATAGCTGTCCACGTGGACAACCTACATCAATGCCACCGCCACGAGCGCAGCCGTGAAAGCGGTGCCGCCGATAGCGGCCCTGCTAACAAAGCCGTCGTTGGATCTGTCGGCCGGAGTATTATCGGCGGCGGGGCCAGGGCTGAGGGCGGCGGGGGACGGCGAGGCCGGCGCGGTGGTCCCTGGGCCGGGAGCGGCGGCGGGGGTTGTTCCCGACGGGGCGGGGGAGGCGGCGGATCCCGGGGTGGGTGCGGCTGCCGGAACTGGGGTGGGGACAGCGGACGACGGCGCTGGTGACGGTGGTGGGGTGGCGGTTGGCGGCGTCGCCGGTGCCAGCGTCGGCGTGGCGGTTGGGGAGACGGTGGGTGCTCCGGCTGGAGGCTGCGCCGTGCATGAGGTGGCTATTAGAGCTAAGAGAAATAAAAGATTGAGCCCGACGGCAGCCATTTTCTTAGAGAGAGAGAAAGAGAGTTTGTGTAGATTTAGTGAGAGAGAATTTGATTTAGATGGACGAAAGGGACTCGAGAAAAGAGACATTTATATGAAGATTTATATATGAGAGAGAGAGAAATAGAGGTTAGTTTAAATGGCCAATAATTGTGGCATAATTGATGATTTTAATATTTTATTTCCATTGATTTTAAATATAGCCAAACAGGGGATGCATGTGCTTTCTGTTTGAATTAGGAGAAATTAACCTACACTAAATATTTATCACTACATGGAAAAAATTAAAGAAGTCTACTTTTATAGTCTTATAAATAAGAATAGTGATTTTATATAACAATACATTTTAAAATAAAATAATAATTGAATATTATATATTGAACAAAAAATAAGTAAAATTATTTTTTTCTATATCAAAAAATAAATATTTAATTATATTAGTATAAATGGACATGCGGGATAGTATATTGATTACTCTCTAGCCCAAACGAGCTAAGGTTTAATTGTCTCGAAATAAAAAATTAAATAAAACATGTGAAAATTAGATTATCCAATTTTATTAATTTGGAATTAAACAGAGAGGCTCTATGAAACTTGGCACTGCCTAGTGGATCACATAAACTATATACTAGTTTCACTAGCCATGAAACCTCATTTTACTTTGATAAGATTAGAAAAATATATTGCATAACTTATGGTTCCTCATCAACAAATTTAATTAAAGCGTTACGTCTCTTGTTAGACCGACATAATTATTTAATCAATATATTATTCTAAAAAATTATTATTATTATTATTATTATTATTATTATTATTATTATTATTATTATTATTATCATATTTTGAGAAAAATAACATAAATATAAAAATCACATTTGATAATATAAATATACATTTTTCTTATGCAGAGTACGACTATTTGAACCGTGTAACTAGACTCAAAGTACCAGAAATTCAAGTACATATCCAAATGTGAACAATATAATGGAAACATTAAATTTTTGAAGAAGATGATGGGTCATATTTTTAACAATAGTTTTGACGTAAAAAATATATAGGAGAATGACTTTTATGGTAGGTCATATTTTTAAATAATACTTTTGACAAAATTATTAATGTTATCCTATATCAAATGATCTAAATAATTATTTCTTGAAATTTTTCGAAGAAGAACGTGATATTTTATATAAAAATGTATATGTTTTATTGAAAAAATATACAATGAACTGATTACTACAGATAGCAATTAGATAATCACCGCTAGCTAGTGTTTACTCAAAATTAACACCGGGTTGAATGATGCTTTGCGCAGATAGCGGATGACTTTGAACTGTACGCGTTTAAAAAAATAAAAATAAAAAAATAAAAAAAAAAAATAAAAAAATCTAATTGACCTAAATTGAGAAAATGAAATGATTCTTTTTCACGAGAGCATTTTTTATTATTTATGAAACGAGAAGTGGAATTTATTCTCTGGGTATGGAGTCTATCTCTAATACCTTTTTCAGTTCAAGTTTTACTCGTGAATTTTGTATTCACGCTTGGCCATGGTCCTTGAAAACAAAAGTTGTTTCGCTTTATTTTGTCCACATTCGGAAATTGAGTTTAGGTCCTTGAAATTTTGCAAATTCAGTTGTGAGTCTAGTTTACACGAACATTTCGTACTTTATATAAAAATGAATGTTTATATTATTAAACATTATTTTTTAAAGTATAATATTTACAAATTTTTTAAAAACGGTTGATTAGTTGAATAGGTAGTTATGTCGGTAATCAAAGTATGAGGAATCAAAAGTTGTGCAGATGGTTAGAGTATGAACCAATGGTTTGCTCATTTAAAATTAAAAATACATAATTGAAACAATAGATAGTGTTATGGGATATAATAAATTAATATCAAAAGAACCAAATATGACATGAATATTTGTGTAATTACTAATTAGTAACACTAGACAATGTCACGGTTAAACAAGTCAACTTGTCATATATTTAAATAAAAGTAGAGAAAATTGCAAATTTTTTTATAAAAGATTAATTGTGTTGCAAATTTGATTTTAAATTGTTGTAAAATTTGTCCTTTAGTTTTTTTCTTTTGCAATTTTTGTCTAACCGTTAATCAACCCCGTTAGTCAAATGGTACTATATGTGTAATTTGAGATCACTTTTGCAATACGACCAATCATGGGTGATTGTATTTGTAATTTTCTCTTAAAAAATTATTAGTTTTAATAATTATTTCACCAAATATTATTTTATGTTTTGAGTCTTATGTTTTCGATAAGCATTTGATATCTTATCATTTTTTACCTCATATCATTTCAACAATATTATTTCACGCTCTTATATCGTATCGTATTAACATTTACAATTAAATTTTATTTAATGTTTTCTATAATATAATTATTTTTAAATAAATAGAGATTATAGTGATAAACTACCTATCTAGTCTTTAAAGTAAAAATAATATTGGATGCACTATTTTAAAAAAATCGGACCGAATCATCATATCAAGCTGGGAACCGGTCAGCGGACCTGTTCAGTTCACTTGAACGAATCTGTTTCCAGAGAACTGGTCACAAACGACCAAAAATCCTGTCATTTGGCGGTCATTTTTTTTTTCATCAAAGCAGTTTAGAAATATTTAAACCTTTTCATAAGATAAAAGTATAAATTTAAATATACTGGGTATCAAATTATCATATAAATTTGATTAGGCATTTAATTATTTTAAATTATATAAATATTAATTAATGTTGATATATTTAAACAAACTATTTGATTATATGACTGTTCAACGAATTCAACCACTGGTCAGACCAGTGAACTATCGAACCAGTATTTTGATCGATCAATGATCAGGCTGGTTTTGAGAACCTTATCTGCTATGAGATATAAATTACTTTTCAAAAGTATTATCAACAATTTTGCATCATGTCATCGTAACAACTACTATTTCACATTTTTATCGTATTAACATTTATAAATAACTAGTACGTGGCCCGTGCGATGCACGGCAAAATAATATTATGATTATATTATGAATTGAATATATAAATAACATTAATCATGATTCACCCATTGTTTTTAAATTAAACCGGGTTGGACACAGTCTGACTGGATGGACCGAGAACTGCTTTATAACCAGTTTAGTTCGCTTGAATAAAATATTTGCTATCGAATCCGTCAACACTGATCGGTTGGACTGGTAGAATCGATACAATTTTCTAAATATATTTTGTTACATTTAAAATTATTTTAAATAAAAGTACATATTTAAAATAAAATAGAGATTTATAAATTATTTATCAATTAGTTTAAACATTTAAATATATAAATTGTTTAGATATTTAAGTAACACATTTTATTAAAACTTATTACAAAAAGTACTCTATATATATTAAAATTTTTATAAATTAGAATCTAAACAAACCAAAAATGATTTAATAGAATAACTTGATCGTATAAATATTAATCATTAAACATGTTGTCATAAAAGTATTGTTAATATGATTATTTGATGTTTGGACAATTGGACTACATCACATTCAAATAATAAAGTATTTTTAATGTTAAAATTTATATTTAGGTTCAATTATCGATTTGGTATGATCAAACTGATACATAACTTAGTCACCTGAGACCATCCAAGTTGTGTCAAGTTTTTTTACTATTTTAAATATCACCTAAAAGTAATTCAATCACTCGATTGATCCAAAGAAATTTTCTTATTTTATTTAAATATATTTAATTTTATGAAATAAAAATATTTTATGATTCATATAATAAATGTCTAAACCAACTGATAGTAGATTACAAATTATATGTTTAATGATGAATTAATTATTTTGTCTTTATGTGTATTAATAAAAAAATAAACATAGTAATTTTCAAAAAAATAAGATTAATTTGATAGAATATGAAATTTAAAGAATATTTTTAGCGTTCAATATTTTTCTTTTTTTTTTTTGAAAGACACAAATATAAAGACCGAGATTCTAAAAATTTTGTTATATTTTGAATTGAGATTTTTTAAATATAGAAACCGAGATTTTAATGTTGTTTGTTGTTTTTACGAAAAAAATAAAAATAAAAATGAGCACACTTAATAGATCTTAACTGGATTTTTTAAAAGATAAAATAGACTAAAGCTCGAAATTTATGGTAGTATTTAATACTGTATGATTTTTTAAAGAAAAAAATAAGAAAAATGATAAAAGTTACTATTTGTAAATTGTGTATTATATTGAAAAAAAATTGAATTATAAAATTATACTTGTAAGTTTTATGCATTTTCATTTATTGAAACTATGGGCAATATACTCGACTATACATTAATTATAGATGCATCCTAATTTCTCGGAATTACGAATATATACAAACAAAACAAAAGAAAGAAAAAAAAACACAATGCTATAATTTTGGATACAGGCGTGAGATTTGAGAAGCTATTATTACGTTTTTTGTTTTCCAAATCCACAATTTTGGGCTGCATTTAATGCTTGTCAATTTGATGTTTAAAAAAATTCAAAAAAAAAATTTCAAAAATGGCATGCAATTAATATTGTTAGATTTTTTACTTTTTATTTTTGGTAAATGGTAATTCTTATTATATATATATAGATTACTATCCAATTCTTCATCTATCCCAAACTATTTGTAGTTTATTAATTCATCCAAAAATAATTATTTTTTCAAATGCAAGATTATATTCTCACTTTGTTATTAATTGTTTTATCATTGCTCCGGGAGAGCCCCTATTTATAGGTGCTAAGAGAGAGGGTCTTGGAAAAAAATGCTTCATTTTGATTGGTCTATAATTTTCAATATTTATTTCTTTAATAACTATTTAAAGAGATAATTAGGAGATTGGGTCTTAAAAAAGAAGACTTCAATTTGATTGGTCCATGAATTTTTAATATTTATCTCTTTAGTAATTTCTGAAAAAATAATTATTTGTTTTACTCTCCAAGAAAATAACATGTGACATTATTTAATTGACG